AGATACTCTACTATAATTAGAAATGATAATATACTATATTATATATTATAATTATAATATGTTATATTATATTATTACATTTGTATAATTATATTATATTTCTAATAATATAATATAGTATAATTGTAACATTATAATATAAAATAATCACAATATCATTATTTTATTTTATTATATATTATGATTGTATTATAATAATAAATATTATATAACTATTATTATAATTATATATATATTATATCATTATAATTTTATATATATAATATTAAATTTTAAATGATTATATTAATATATATGATATTAGTTATATTAGCATGATGAGTAATTTTGTCAACATGAAAATATTCATATCTCATTTCATTGTATTTGTAAAAGTAGAACTAAATAAATAAATCATATTTCCTTTATATTCTATTCTATTACTATTTTCATTTATATTCTCATTACTATTCCTCCACTATAATCAAACGCATAATTTTATCCCAGAAATCACAAATACCACTTCTCTTTCTGCATTCTCTTCCTGTCTATGTACTTCTTTCTGTATAAAATTAAAAAAAAAAAAATTAAGTATTGCTATGAACAAGCGCAAAACTTCGATCCATAACAAGCCCTTTTTCTCCAAAAGAGCAAACCTGATCTACTATAGAAGATCCCAAATTACTGAAATTATTGCAGTGCTGAGTCCATTCAATTCCAGTAGCAAGTCTGCACGGAGTTTATACTTGAATGCCATGAAGATTTTATCAGCTGAAATGAGCTTTTGTTTCTCCATGGTCTTGAAATCATGATGTCTCCGAAAATGATGAATCTTTTGCTGGCAGAATCAGAAGGATATTGCTCAGAGGTCCCCTGTCACCTGAGGATCATAATCATATTCTTCGCCAGCTTTCACAAATCTGCCTTTTACTCGTTTTCTGGTATCGGCTCTAGCTTTGCGTGAGGCGTATCTTATTTGTTTTCCAAACCTGCAGATAAAAAAATTGCACCAAATCTCTTAGCAGATGGATCAAAGAAAATTTCAGGAGATAAAAGAAGATTTCACAAATCACTTTTTGTACAAAACTTTTTTTTTTTTTTTTTTTTTTGTGTCACTAAAAGAGTCTAGAGATCAAGCTAAATAGTGCTTAAAGCATAAACAACATAGCCTATTGTAGAGTAGAGAGTTGGAACGCATACGTTCGAGTTTTCTTCTTCTCCTTGTATCTCATCTTGGCTTTGTCTCTAGCTTGAGGGCAGCTAGCGTCCAAGGATGAGTCCCAAGATTCTCCTCCAAGAAAAACTGGTGTGGACATCAGACAATCTTGACGATCAGCAGCAGCACTACTTTCGCCCGTGATGTTAGAGAGTGTGAAGGACATGCTTGAATGAAGTTGGCCAGGAGCAAATCCCAGATTAACGTTTCTACTGCTATTTGGATTCATGAGTAAGCAACTGGAACTGCCATTCACTCCTTTTATTGCACTACATGATCCACCAACATGAGAGGCTTGTAAAGCCATGCAATCTTGCTGTCTTGATGATGAGGCCTAAAAAAAATACACAAGGTTTATGCACATATACCGATGATACGGATTAAAGCCCACTAATGAGAGCAATAAGATGCAGAAAAAAGAAACCAAACACACAGTGATTCACTCTCAATCTCAATGTGAGAGCTATGTCTATTTTCAGCTATCCTAGAATTTTACTACGGCCGTGAAGAAGAAAGTTACAAAGGAATCACACTTTGGGAGGAGGGCGATAATTAGATTCAACACACTCAACAAAAGAATCATAAACTTATATATGGTAAGCTATTAGTAGACTATCTGATTGGAGCAAGTTTTCTATTATGCTAAAACAAAAGGTATAGTGAAAACATTACATTGCATGAAAACAGAAGTAGGAATAGACTTTAAGAACCTCTAAAGCATTTTCAGTAGGGGCAAAGTTTTTCTCCATTAATAAGCCTTGATCAATTCCCCCATCCTCATACTGGTATCTGGAAGGATCCTGTGATGAGCAGCTACATATCTCATTACCATTTCCACAGTTCATTGAAATGTCGTTCATTTTGAGGGTTTTGCATAGTTCATTGCCATCATGAATTCTAAGATCCTCAAACTTAGGAAAACCCTGCAAGTACAGAGAAACAGAATGTGTGAATAACAAAAGGCAAAATACGAAAGAAGCTATTCAATAATTGCATCTAATTATATGGTGATGTGTAACGTTGGATTTAGTCCTACACTAGTATATGCAGCAAAAACTACTCCAAGTTACTATATATTTCTTGCTCAGTGAAACAACTTAGCTAATTGCTGCATTATCCAAAAAAAAAAAAATCATTGTTGAGAATAGTGCATGTGTGTGTTGTCTCATATAGAAAGTGGATGAAGATGTGAAATAATTTATATGCATGGAAGGACTCAAGACCTAATAGGTTAACCTTTTAGGTTAAGTTAGTCTCTTGAAATGTGTTGGGCCAATTTCACATGTGGTATCTCCCCAACAAGTGGTATTAAAGCTATGGTGAAGATTAAAAAAAAAAGAGGTCAAGATGATGTCCGGGATAAAATTTGAACATATTGAGTGGTTTGATGGAAAGAGTAATTTTAGCATCTGATAGAGTACAGTCAAAGATGTTCTGATTCAGCAGAGATTACTGAAAGCATTGCAAGGAAAAAAGCTAGAAAATATGAAAGATAAAGATTGAAGAATTAGAAGCGAAAGCGGTAAGCACTATTCGTTTAAGTTTGGCTCCTCAACTGAAATACAGTGTTATGAATGAGACATCTCCTTATGAGTTATGAAAAAAATTAGAAAAAATTTATATGTCGGAATTCCAAACAAATAGATTATAATTGAAGAAACAATTGTATGAGTTGAAGATGGATGATGAAAGTGGTGTTAGGGATTATATGAATAATTTTAATAAGTGCATAACTCAGTTGTTAAGTGTAGAGGTCAAAATTGACGAGGAAGATAAAGCGGTAATTTTGTTGGCCTCCCTACCCAAATCATATGAGACTTTAGTGACTACACTTTTAGTTGGAAATACGACATTGACTGTGGATGAGGTGTCGGCTGCTCTGTTAGAGACTACAAATATGAAAACACCTATTAGTACATCTCATAATGAACAAGTTTTAGTGACGAAGTCAGAGTCAGATGGGGGAAGGAGCAAGTCACGAGGGAGATATTATGATAAGAGAAATGATCGTTCCCAATCCCGGTCAAAGAAGAATATTGAGTGCTATTATTGTCATAAATAATGGACATATTAGGAAAAACTGTGAGGAACTGACGAAGCATCTAGAAGAAAGAAGAAGGCAAGAACCCCAAGAGACTTCAGATTGTGCAAATGTTGTTGGCGACAGGTATGATAGTGAAGATGATGTGTATTCCGTTATTGCTGATGAAAATATTTCTAACTTTTAGATTTTAGATTCTGGATATTCGTTTCATATGTGTCCACATAAAGAGTGGGTTGATTCCTATAAACCCTGTGATGTCGGTACTTTGTTGATGGCTAATGATTCTAGTACTAAAGGTGTTGGAATAAGTACTATGAGCGTGATGATGTTTGATGGAGTTGTGAGGACATTGACAAATGTTAGGCATGTTTCTCACTAATGAGAAGTTTAATTTCTTTGGGGACTTTAGACACTTTAGGTTGTGAGTACTATGTGAATGATGGTTTTATGCAAGTCAAGAAAGATGATTTAGTAGCCATGAAGGGTGAAAAAGTGAAAAACTTGTATAAACTGATTGAGACTACAGTTGTAGGTGGAGTCAAGCCAAAAAGAATCTTCTTCTGTTGTGAAAGAAGTTGCATGAGTAAAAGAGTGCAATAAGATAATAATAGTGGAAGATGATAAAGACAAGATGGTGAAGACTTGTAGCAGTGAAGATACTTTGAAGAGGAAGAAGAGAGTTTCTCGTGTTAAATTTGATGAGAGTTTAAACTTGATACATGTTTATTTTTGTTGAAGTTTGCATCGTCGGTGCAATGACAGTTGTCGAGATTGGATACCCAAATGTGTGAGTCGAGAGAATTTGAGTTAAGGTGAAAATTGTTAGGTAAGTGACTCAAATTAGTTTTGAGAAAGTAATTATTTTGTGTTTTTTTGGGTAAGTTGATTTTTTTTTTGTTTTTTGGACAATGGTCATTAGGATTTTATAAATAAGTATTTTGTGTAAGACTTTATGTGTACTCAGAGAAAAGTGCAGAGAAAAAGTGTCTTCTTTTTAAGGGAAATAGAGAAAAGTAAGGAGAGAGATAAACAAAGGTGTAAGGAGTTTTGAATAGAGAGAGAAAGAGAGAAAATTTATTGAGTGTGAAATTTTAAAACTATTAGTAAATTTTTTTCTCTCTTCTGTGAACGTAGAAATTTTTTCAAACTACATATAATTTTCTATCTTCTTTATTTATTTTTGTTATTTTTATTTCAATTTATTTTTTGCTGTATAAGTGTAGTGGTGTGTTTTTCTCACAACAACAAATGAAAACATAATACCTTGTATAGAACTGACTCCTCAACAGATAAAGGTGTTTGATTTACGCAATTCCCATCAAGCTGAACGACAGAAGATGTACCTTCCCAAGGCTCGAGCTTCAAACGAGACTCCGTATCAGTATTCAACTTGGAAGTCGCCATCTCATACGACCCAACAATTCCATCCTTCCTATCACCAATGGCACAGTTTTTTTCACCTCGAGGCCATCCATCACCAAAACCAGTACTCGGACAAGGAGGCTCGTCGAGAATCGAGGAGATTAAAAGATCAGAAAGCTCGGCCGAAGAAGGACAACCGTCGTAAAACAGCATCACTTGTCTCTTGTGCCTGCCAGCACAAGTAGTGCAGCTCCAATCACAGTTTTGGCACACGGTCATTTTCTCGTCGACGCACCAGATTATCGCTGGCTGCTCATTGCACTTGTCACACAAGAGAGACCTTTGGTGCCTGCGTGATAAAGGATTGGCAGAGTGCACGCAATTGTCACACCCTAAGCAAAGCCGAGTGTGATCCGACCTGCAATAAACCACTGCCCTCACCAAAGCACAGAACTCACATAAGGGCTCCATATATATTTTCACTTCCCTACCATTAAATTGTCAATAAGTAGTTGGTTTATTGATTATAACTCCTAACCATATGATCTCCTTCCACAGAGCACTTCAAAAACAAACCGAAAAAATGAAAATCGTGAACCACCAAAGATCAACAAGAGAGCTAGCCCGTCTGGACTCGGGTGAAACAATGTCAATCTTATGATCAAAACAGATGAAAAGGGGAAAAAAAAAAAAAAAAAAAAACAGCCAACATGGAGAAACAAAGAAAAAAAAATCATGTCTATATAATAAGAGAAAATGTTTTTGTTTAAATAGACATGAGAAGGGCGTGAAGCTTATTAAGCATGATGATGTTTTCTTATTTACTCACGTTTTTGTTTGTTCTCTCACTAGGCCATCTGGGTGTTCGCCACGTGGTAGCATGAGGGCCTAGGATAAGGATGGCCGCACGGGTGACGTAGATACGAGGTTGGTTCGCATTGTGGTTCTGGTACAGTGGGTCCTGCTTACTCGGACACTGGCCAATGAGGTGGCATAAAGGTAAATAAGAGGAAGTTCGTGGGGGATTTGTCGAGAAATTAGGTCGCAGTTAGACTCCCACGTCAGCCGAGATTTGCGCATTCATACACCATGACGTAACTCCCAAGCCAGATAAGTAAAGAACTAGCAAAAATTAAATTTATACGTACTTAAAAAGCCAAGGAATTGCCTTCTATGGAGGTCAACATAGCCTCCACTTTTTTATTTTTTTTTATTTTTTTATTCTCTCTATTTTTTTTTTATTTTTCATTTTTAGATACTTTTTTATATATTTTCTCTTTTTTTTACCTATCTAATTCTAATGCCTTTTTTTTCCTCTCATTATTGTCTACCTATTGCTTTTATCAATTTTTTTCTTTTATTTCATTCACATTTTGTGAATGAGTTTTTGAACAGAGACACGTAAAAGATAGAATAAAATATATATAATATTTCGTTTATTTCTTTATAAAAAAGATCTTATGTTTATAACCATGATTTATTAAAACACATTTACTTAACGTGCATTTTGATCATTTTACTTTTTTATTCATTTTAAATCATGTGTTTTTTAATTGTGCCTTATTAAATTTTATCCCCCTAATATGCTCTCATTTAAATAATTTTAAATATGTGCTTGCCTAAATATTTTTCTTTGTTGTTAATATTTCTTTCTTCTAATTGTATGTGTCTAAAAAATATAACATACTAATATTCACGCCCATAGCGCGTTATGAGCTAAACGTGTGATTGTTTTTGTTTTAGTTTGTTTTAACTGCAAAAAATGTGATAATTATTAGGATCTTATCCGATACGTCAATGTACTAGTAGACCCGATTTTTTATCCATCAAATATGTATAAAATCACATAAAATTAAAAAACATACATATTTAACGGTTAGAAAAACACTAAATGTACTAAAAAAATCTCCTTAATAATTATTAACTTGTCGGTTGGACATGTTTCTGAGTTTCGGCGTAGTTATCTTAACATGTTACATGTGATAGTCAATTGTTTTTTTTTTTAATTTATCTTTTAGTATTTTGGGGTTTTTGACTAATATACCGAATATTCCTTTTTTTTTGCCCTTTGCCTTCTTTTAAGGAGAATTATTATTATTATTACTATTAATTTATTATTTTGAGAAACGAATCGGAATAACGAGTAATTTGATACTGTTAATCTGTTATTATATAATTGGCGACCCACAAAATTAATCGTTCCCAGTCCGATAAAGAAAAAGGGAGAAAATTAGCATATTCTAGCGCACCAAAAGAAATTCACTCGTCCATCGAAAAAAGAAAATATTCTATTGTTTAAAAAACAGTTATACTTTTATTAGATTCTATTAAATTACTTATCTTTTTATTTTTTTTTATTGCATTGTACTGAAAAATCCATTGAACTTTGTCTAGTGGTACCAGGGGTTCGGGTGGAATGAATTTTAAGATAAGGTTGCGGATTTAATCCCGTATTAGATGAGAAAAAGAATCTAATGATAAGGATATTTCATCACAAAAATCACTTCATGAGAATAGCTTAAATTTGTTTATGTTATGGAGCCATAGTCCTGTTAAAGTATAAAAACTATTGTTGACCCACCTCCTAATAGCTTAAGCTTTTGGGATGGATTGGTAAACTGACATGGTATCAGAGCGGGAAGTCCTGAGTTTAAACCCCCGTTATTGCACTCTTTATCCCTATTTAAAATTGTCATAATGTGTTGGGTCTTTAATATATCTCGGGCTTTAAATATTCACGTGTTGGGCTTTCTAATTAATTTACCCACACGATTACCCATTGTCCAGCCCACACGTGAGGAAGAATGTTAAAGTATAAAACCTATTGTTGGCCCACCTCCTAATAACTTAAGCTTTTGGGATAGATTGGTAAACTGACAAGTCCTACGTTAAATATGTCATTGGTGATTGGTTCCCTTTTTCTCATTAGAGGAAAAAGCCTAAAAAAACATTGGGAATTTTACATGGATATAAATTTTGTTTGGTCAAGAAGAAGAAGAAGAAGAAGAAGAAGAAGCTAACATTTTATTATTAAGAGATACCCCTTTCAAGATGTAAAATGTTAAAATTGCCCGAGTTTGTTTTTGGTAATCAACGGCTCAACTTTTTTAGCATATCAGTAATTTATTTTCTAATTTTTACATGTCCGTGATGGACTTTTTGGCTAGTTTATTTTTTCAGTACACCAATGGTTTATCTACAAGTATATCTATGGTTTACTTTTTTTCTCTGGCAAATCCACCCACACCACCAGCGACATGATGCGATGAAAGAAATAAAGGGAAATGAGACAAATAACCTTTTAGTTAAATTGAGTAAAAAACAAATCTATCGTCACTCTTGCAACGGTACTCGTCATTCTCATTCTCCACAGAAGATGATGATATATTAGTCACAGTTGCTTCGTTTGTACTTTCTTCTATTGGAATATTTTTCGAGTTAAAAAAAAAAAAATTCAAATGATAACATTGAAAGTCCATTATAAAGAGTGGCACTGTTACAATTGGGCAGATAACGAAAATTCCATAATCACAACTCGTGAACTGATTTTATTACCAAAAAAAAAAAACTCTTGCTTCTACAATACTGAAAATACCTTTGACAGTATTACACTAGGTTACTGGAAGCAGCCCAACGACGACCTACGTGTTAGTAGTAGCCTATTGTGTTACCAGAAGTTGCATCTCCTACTGTGTTACCAACGACAGTTTACCGTGCTACCGACAGACAATAACATATTGCCCGACTGGAGATTTCTTACTGAAATATTGGACAAAACTGGTATTTTTATCTCTCATCGTACAGTCGTACACATATCTTTATTTATCACCATTTCCTTTTTTATATTTCCTTCCAAGACACCCAAAATTTTTTTATGCCACACTGCGAAAAGAAAGACAAATAAGAGGGAGAAAAGTTGGTCATTTTTCTAATGGTGTTGGGGCTCGTTAGATTCACAAGTATGACTATCAGAGTGGCAGACGTGGTAGTCTCTGACTAGCTAGTGGCGATTCTAACGTGGTTAGAGAGGTTGTTGATTTGTCGAAGATGGTGAAAGTAAAACCCCCAATGTGTGTACGAGGTTGATTAGGCTCTTAAGAAAATCAAAGAAAAAAATGGCTCTCAGGAACCTCATAATTTGTTGCTGAATCGTCGTGAAGTAATATGCAAAACTCAAGAGAACTATTAAAACTAACAAAACTAGACTTGAGAAAGGTAGGAGTAGTCAAATGGTTTATGGAGAAAGGGCTGGTCACTTTGTAAAAGAGAAAGGTGTAACACCTCAAGAAATTAAACGAGATTAACTAAGATAATTAAAATTTATTAATGTGTCTAATTTGATTTAATTAAATAATTGTGTTTATTAAATATTTTTTATATGTAAATTTAAATATTTTTAAGGGATTTAAATATTTTCAGTATTTATATTTTCACTCTAAAAGTATATGTAGACACACTTTCTAATCTACTTTTATAAATATCTATTTTAGAGTATATGTAGACACACTTTCTAATCTACTTTTATAAATATCTATTGAAAATATTAGGATTTTTCATTTCTTTCTTTTTTCTTCTTTTTCTTCCAGTGCATCCTCACTCTCTCTATCCCTGTCGTTTCTCTCACTCTCCCTCTCTCTCTGTCGTTCACTCACTCTCCCTCTCCCGCAGCTCTCTCTCACCCTCTTCTTAAATTTGTCGAAAAACTCTCAAAACTTGAACAAAGAGGAATTTCAAGGAGTTTTCAACGTCAAGAGAAGGATTTGGGGTAAGATTTCTGAAAAACTTCTCTTGAATCTCGAATTTTTCTTGTTAGAAAAACCTATTTTTAGGTTGAATTGGATTTTGATGGATTTTGGTTAAATCCTGATAGAAATTGGAGATTTTTTATTCTTTGGACTGGATTTGTTATTTAGAACCTGGATTTAGTAATTTTCCTTTGAAATATCTCGGATTAAACTCGGATTTACAGGTTTTCGAGCTGATTCGGCGAGTTTTCTCGCCCTGCTGATCTTCACTTGCCGACCTATGCGATCGACCGGTTAGCACACCACCGACTGACTGGTGGTGATGCGCCTCTCTGTCACTGGTCGGCCGATTGACAGAGGAAATGGGGCTAAGTTGTTTTGAAACCCTGTTTTGACCTCAGTTTTAAAAGAGAACCCAAATTAGTTTCATTTAGGAATCTAAAGTAGATGGATTAGCATCTTTAATCCATGTTTTGATATCAAAACCCTTGGAATGATTATTTGAAACATAAAATGATTTATGAACTTAGAATTTGATTAAGGCACACTAACAAGAAATTGAAGTGTATAATTGAGATTGATTTGCTTTAGGAATGAGAAATGAATCCTAAAGCGTTATTTTGTATCAATGATAGTTGAAGAATCGAATTGAAGGCTTCGAGGAAGCAGAGGCTAGGATAGCACAACTTTAGCCACATGTTTGGTGCTTGAGAGGCAGGATTTCTTGTCCTTTCCTTTGATAGCTTGATTTTAAAAGAGCTTTGGCCTTACAAATGTGACAGGACTCAATAAGGATGGTCTTGGATAGTTAGTTTAATAGTATAAGTTGTTATAGTGTAGTAATAGCTGCCAGTAGTTTGTTAGAGGGGTATTAGTAGGGGTGTTCGTCGGTTCAGTTTTGTCAGTTTTGGTCGGTTCGGTGGCCGAACCGACCATGTTGGTTTTCTAAAAGTTAGAACCGAAACTGAACCGCACCTAACATTTTTGGTTCGGTTAACCAAATTTCGGTTACGGTTCAGTTTTGGTCGGTTTTCAGTTTTGGTAATCAGGAAGATGACCTCAGTTAACCATCAGGTTACCAGCATCTTTAATTGCATTTTTGACCCGTAAGTACGAAAAAATGTAAAATTTTCCTTCAATGTAAAGTTGCAAACATGTAATCACAATAAATGAATACAAGCATAACATCAAAATTGATAATTGCATAAACACAAGTTTAAAAAACATTTAAATTGTCATAAGTAAAATAAAACGAAAACATAAAAAAAAAAAAAATCCCATCTCGGTCGGTTCGGTTTTAACCGACTCTCTACACGCAAAACCGAAACCGAACCGACTTTTGAGGAAGTCGGTCGGTTAATCGAACCGACTGTGTTCGGTTCCACGTGGCACCGTTGTTTTCGCTTTTAAGCGGTCAATTTTTCGGTCAGTTTCGGTTTTACAGTTTTTTTGTACACTCCTAGGTATTAGTACAGTTTGTTAGAGGGGTATTAGTACAATAAAAGGGGGTACTAACATTTGGGGGGAGGGGGGATTGATTAGAGTAAACTGGGAAAACCTTAGGAGAGCTAGCAGACTTCTTGAAAGTCTGCAAATTTATCTTGTAATCGAGTCTTGTTCTTGTTTTCAATAATAATCTTTTCTTGGTTCTTATCAAGTGGTATCAGAGCACTTTCTTGGGAAAAATTCAGAGAAGATGGAGGGAACATATGGACGTTGGCTGCAATTAGAGAAGCCAATGTTTTCCGGAGAAGATCCGGATGCGTGCATATCAAGAGTAGAAGAATATTTCTTGAAAAATTGATTTTCAGAGCAATAAAAACTGATGTTCGTTGGGGAGTTCATGGAAGGTAAAGCTCTTCAGTGGTTTCAATGGGAGGATAGAAGGCGTCCATTCATTTGTTGGAGTGCTTTTAAGACGCATTTGTTTCAATGTTTCCAACTAGCAAAAGGAAACTGTTCTATTGCGAAGATTGAAGCCATGGTTCAAAATGTGGAGCAACTTTTAAAGAGGATGGAGATGAGATTTGGAGCGGCGGCGACGTCGACCATAGCAATAGATCGACTTCAAGAGCTATCAGAATGCAAGATGAATGACGATCTAGAGTCGAAATCTAGGTTTTCAGATCCTAGAGTTTCAAATCTTGGGGTTTTTGACGATTCGCGACCAAATCTGGGAGACCGAATCTGACGAGCGACGCTAGAGGAAACGCGATCAGAACCCGATGAACACCGCCAACGATCAACGCCATATGAGCTGCGAACTGGTCTGTGTGATGATTTGTGATTAGATCTGAGTGGGCAACAACTCAAGAAGTTGAATTCGTGTCTGTGTTCACCAGCGAGGGGGAAAACGACGATCTGATGACTGACTCAGAAGATTTGCCTGAAGTTTGGATGGAATCAAGCACCATTAGCGATGAGATTCACGATTTCGGTGTACTTGGGGCTAGTTCTGACGCCATGAAGGATGGGATTTGCAATTCTGACGTGATTAAGATCAATTCTGGCGATTTGAGGCATGGGTCTCTCGATGGGAGGGCTAGGACTTGGAATCTAAGTGTCATGAGGGATGATTTTAGAGCAATTAGGATTAGGTCTTGGAATTCCAGCGTGACTGGGGCTGGGTCAGGGATATGCGGCGTGAGTTCCAACAAGATTTAGGCTGGGTTCCGAAATACCGGCCGGATTTTGACTGGGTGCCGTGATTGGGGCTTATTTCTGTGCAATTGGGGCTGGGCTTCGTGATTATGGTGCGTTTAGGGCATATTCTGGTGAGCCAAGGGCTGGGTTTCTCAAATCCGGCATGATTTGGGTTGGTTCCGATGCCGTTAAATTTGGGTTGCACACTTCTAATGCGATTAAGGACAATTCCAGTGACATTTGGATTGGGTCTTCTTATTTCGGTCTGATTGGGGTCGGATTTACAAAGAACGGGGTGGTAGAAGGGGGGTTGAAAGGAATTAGCGTGACAGGAATTGGAATTGGAAATTTCACAAAGGGTAGACTTGGAATTACTGCTACCTTTGACGTTCTAAGGTTCACGTGCATTGAAATGGGAAGAAGATGACATCATTCAAGTGCAATTACCTAATTAACACCTTGAGGACAAGGTGTTTTTTGCCGGGGGAGTAATGATAGGACTCAATAAGGATGGTCTTGGGTAGTTAGTTTGATAGTAGAAGTTGTTATAGTGTAGTAATAGCTGTCAGCAGTTTGTTAGATGGGTATTAGTACAGTTTGTTAGAGGGGTATTAGTAATATAAAAGGAGGTACTAGCATTTGGGGGGAGGGGGGATTGATTAGAGTAAACTGGGAAAACCTTGGGAGAGCTAGCAGACCTCTCAAAAGTCTGTAAATTTATCTTGTAATCGAGTATAGTTTTTGTTTTCAATAATAATCTTTTCTTGGTTCTTATCAAAATGTTTTAAAGAAAGGACATGTTTGCGAAAGAAAAACATTTTAACACAATAGCTTGATTTTAGCTATTGGAATTATAATGAACTATTTCAGAATTTTAATGAACGATTTCTTAAGATAAGAGATCTTTCGAACTGGTAAACCTATTGATGGCCTAGATAGGATATGGAGATCGTATCCTTGAGGTAGAACCCGAAACCCGGACCGGGCAACTACGGTTTTGATAAGGCTTGTGCTTGTGGTTGTGTAAGTAATTTATCATAGTATAAATTACTTGTTGAGGCATGTAATACGGAATTTTCAGTTTATATTTCCTTTCAGAAAAAGGATGTGAGGTTCCGGCTGTTGTGTTGGAACTAAATATCTTTATTTGCTTACTTATTCATTTATTTACTTGTTTATAAAGTTTATTTCAGAATACATCATACTGGGTCTTCCGCTCATGTTTTATTTTGTTTCTATAAATATTAAACCCCTCTCAGGCGACGCTAGGAGCAGCACTGAGTAGCTGAGTTAGACGCTACTGTTCAATCAAGTGAGGACATTGCACTCTTCCATCCTTGTGTACAAATGCAAGGATTGTAAATTCTGGAACTCTAAACCTTAAGTTTCTATACTGTGGTTGATGTCTGTAATGTTATTTACATGTTCATGTATGTATAATATTGTATATCTTGTGGGTGAAGTCCTGAACGATACCGGAGGCTTAGTTTAAAACTTGTTTATCAGAAAGTGTGGAAGTTCCCATCACTTTCTTGTAGTTTAAATTCAGTAAAATGTGGGGCTAGTTTAGAAATTCCTTTAAATTTTGATTATTATGTTATTAAATGTTTAATTACTTCTTTAATCGTGTTTAATCTCTAAACGAGCCTCCACATTATTTACCCATGTTTTAGAGCATGACATAAGACTAGATCGAGTTTGTTACTAAGTTAATGTTTTATTTCTTAAAAAAAAAATCCCCCAGAATTTATCAATTAAATATGCATGGAATAAACTTATTGATGCCATTAGATCCATATATTACATTATCTTTCAAGTAAAGTCAATTATATTTTGAAACAATATGCATAAAAAGAGCCATGCTAACAACATATATTGCCATGCAAAGTCATCCAAATAAGTTACAACAAGTTGGGTATTACAGTTATCGTTCATTTAAAAGAAATTTTATCCTATAAGCATTTCCGCTTATAAACGTTCACCAATTTGATCAATTACCCTTCTCAATATATGAGCACATAAATATATGTTGTATGATAGCATAAACTTCTATATACCAGTTGATCTTATAAATATTTATATACAAATAATAAAGATTGAGCTCTAGCATCAACACAATTAAGAAAATCTTCTCACCAATACTGAACTTCAAAACGTAACTTTTCCTTTAAAAAAGGATTGAGCTCTAGCATTTTCTCTTAGACATTTTTACTCGGTAATTAATAAAAAAAAAGTCGAGTAGACACAATTTGATGGAAATACAATTAATATAGGTTAATAAAAAAAAGAAAAAAATGATGACTGGTTTTGATGTTATGAATACTGAATACAACACAATTTATTTCCAATTTCGACACATTTTCATTTCGTGAAAATCGAATTTATAGAGTTGAAAAGCGCGTTCTTGAAAGAGAATGTGATGTTTATTTTCTGTATTCGTTATAATTTATAATTTTTTATAATATATATATTTTTTAAAAAATACACATAAAATAAAAATAATTTTAAATTATAATTTTAAATTCAAGACAAAGTCTTTAATTAAAAAAAATACACATAAAATAAAAATAATTTTAAATTATGATTTTAAATTCAAGACAAAGTCTTTAATTCCAAATCAAATCCCAAAACTCTTTGAATTTACGGAACGGCCTCGGAACTATTTCTATTTCATGGGATTAATCTCCTTAGCTTTTACTCAAAACCCGTCAACCTTTTCGCGTCAGATCAGAGATTAAAGATCCAGCGAACCCACAAAGGTTCGCATTGCACCAATCAGAGCTTCAATCCTGGCCATTCATCTATCTCCGTAAATTTTTTCCGATCTGAAGAAATTCCACATTTCATTCTTTCTTGCTTTCTCTGCGTGTTTCGTCAAATTCTGTAGAATTTCCTTGATTTCTGGAGCTAATTACTTGATGGGTAATTCGGAAATGTTGAGATATTTAATGAGATTTTTTATTTTTTGTTGTTAGACTTGGAGGCTCCACTCACGAAGTTCTTCGGAGAAAATTGCGGCCAAAGGTGATTTTTTTTTTGGCTTCCTTTTGTTTCCTAAATCCGCTATCAATTGTTATGGCCTTGAATAGCTTGGCTTTTGTTGATGGAAGCCCTTAATTGTTGAAATTGAGTTCTTTTATTTCACAACAAAAGGTACTTATGTTTGCCCTCTAATGCTGAATTTGTTGGGTCCATAACTCCGTGTGTGTGTGTGCGCGCGCGCGTGTGTATATATATATATATATATATGTATTTTTTTAAGGCCTATTGAATTCCAATTCACTAGCCCAGATTTAGTTACATTTTCTTTGATTTTTTTTCCAGATGATTTACTTTAATGGATCACATTTGGAGTTGTTTTATCTGTTATTCTTCAAGGACAAAAAAAAAAAAAAAAATCCTTTAGCCCCAATATATTTCCTTTTAAATACTCGTAGTATAAACCTAATTGACAAGTCTGATTAGTTTATGTGAATAGATTCTTGAGTGATGTTTCAACGTGATTTCCTTTCTGCAGATCCAGGGGTAGGCTAAGTGGTGCAGATACATTTTGTATTTGCGGATTTTATCTATGTTTGGAGGTCTTGTGACGGTTCCTTCTAATAGTCCTCACTTAAGAAAGTCTGGTAGCAGACCCGTTTTCTCTGATCTGGGTACAATTAATTGATGTTTATGTAGTGATCTGCATTTGGTAGCTATCATATTTGCAATTTTATGCCTTAATAGGAACAGTTTTTACTTTTTTGGTGGACATACATCTTATATTTGATGATTTTCTTCAGGTACAACTGAGTTGGAAAATGGTGTCGATGAAAATTTCTTGCATTCAGCAGAGACAGATAGTTTGAAGGGTTCAAGTACACCGATGGGTACCACTTCGATGATGCCATCTCCTATTACCTTATGGAGATTCAAGGTTTTGTTTTCTCTCATAGGCTTGGGTGGTTCTCAATTAATTTTTTTAGTTTATATTATTTGCATGTTTCCATGCAATAAAAAATCGTTCTTTTCACTTCATCTTTAGTGATTAATCTGTGGTGGAGAGATTTAGAAATTATGGAAGACATTTTAGAACTAGATCTAATTAAAATAGGGTCATCCAAATGCGATGAAAGTCAGGATAATCTGTTTAATGAGAAAATTGTTGAGTGTTTACATTTGGAGTTAGTTTTTCTGGGGTTGATTTTGATTTCAGACCCATTTATTCAGCCTTATTTGTGGCTTTGTTTTCTGCACATGTACATATGTATTCATGGATACTATTTCAAATCAATGGACAGGTACTATTCTTCTTTGTCTGGGGTTTCATTTGTTGCAAGGTCAGTAAAATCGGTACTATAACTTCTATTTGTGAATCCGATTGGAGATTTCTGGTTTTGATGGCAATGTTGAGAATACCGAGAAGAATGTTGGATTTGATTGCATCATGAGATTGTTCTGATTTGGTTTGTTTAAAATTTGCAGATTGGATGGGATTCTGTAATGAGAATGAGTGTGGATTTGCGGGATTTATTTCTATACGAGGCATTTTTATACTATAATCCTCTTCTTCTTGTGGTAAGTTATGTTTTTTCTCGTTCATTTTGAGCTATCTTGTTTGTGGCCTATCTTATTCATCTTTGCATTGACTCACTTTAATTTCAATTTTCGCAGACTATGACTGTTTGGCTTTGGGGAATTAATTTATGGGTTTTCTCTCAGTCCAACGTCAATTATGCAAAAGTTTTTGATCTTGATCAAAATCATTTGACCCACAGAGAAATATGGAAGGTACCTAATTTTATGGCTAATTCATTGTTTGTACATTTACTCAGTAATTTATCCTTTCTGTATTATTTTGTAATGTTGATGCCTTTCCACTATTACGAGTTTATCTAATGACTATGCTATAAGAGCTCATCGAATTTTTTGCAACGTTTTCAGGGTATAGATAGTGGCATTTAAGGGTATCGTTTGAGTATTATAACATGATTTGTTTGTTTTGCACTGACTTCATGGCTTATGGCTTATCCCCTTCTTTTTATTTGCAGTGTGCCACATGGATGACCATTGTTGTTCCGACTAGCATGACGGCATATCTTTATCTTTATTCCCATGGAGAAGTATCGCTGGCTGCTTCACAACCAGTGTAATAGATGCATCCATCTTCTATTTAAAATAATGATTATCTTTTTCTAGTTGCTTGACTGTAGAATTTATAGCTATTCTTTTTCCTAAATGGAGCTATTGATTGTCTTTTAACCCAAGTAGCTAGCAATTACTAAGGATCCTTTATTTGAGTCTTACTGGAATAATACTGTTTGTTGCCAAACATATCACCTTAGGTATGTTTAAAGGGTGGTGATTATGCAAATGGGAGTTTCTAGGGTAAGTCAATTTACACACATTACGTCGTGATGGACAGATGGAGTATGTACTCTTTCAGTCTCTTCTTGTCCCACAAAAACCATTGAAATAAGATTTTTTTTTTTTTTTTTTGGTATCATTTTGATGCATTTTTTTCCTTATTGGTTTATTTATGTTTCAACACATTACTTCGTGATGGACAGATGGATTTCTTACTCTTTTTCAGTCTCACTATTGTCCCACAAAACCATCGAAATAAGATTGTTCGTGTCATTTTAATGCATTTTTACTTGGTTTATTTATGTTTCCACAGAGAAATAACTGGACTAATCATTATTGAATTATGAATCATCCTTGACAAAAAGCATATGCCGTTGTCTGAATGAAGCAAACTTAGCAAGATAATAAATTTACACGAGTTATGATCTTTAATTGCAATTTTACCATAAGCCTAAGCAGAATAGGCAGGTATCACTTTTGGTATTACTGCAATTTTATACTTAAATTGTCTATTATCAACTAGCAGAGTAACATTGCTATCCCACATTCCCACTGCAATCGTTCCTTTCTAGTTTTGGCATTGTACTAAGTTTTACTTTGCTCTTCTGCAGGTTCTCTTGTATACTGCTATTGCCTTGCTGTTGATCTTTCCCTTTGATATTTTTTATTTGTCATCTCGCTTTTATTTGTTAAGGACTCTTTGGCGTATAGTTCTCCCGCTACAGGCATGTTTCTTTTGTTACAGCATAAAACTTCCAAAATTTTTGTATGGATTTTCTCTTATATGCTGTCCTAAAATTCGGTTATCTTTTTCATGAATGCAGGCCATCTCATTTTCTGATTTTTTCCTGGCTGATATTTTAACCTCCATGTCAAAGGTGTATATATCAAGATACGTACTTTTAGTCATTTAGCTTGTTCTCGCTTTGTGACATTAAAAAACAGTTTACTGTTTCATGTTTGCACAAAAATAAAAGTATCGGGATGTTTTTTTGAACTCATTATATTATATGCGTGAGTTTGAGAGAGGATGGGATCGGCCTCGTTAAACAAGGAAATCAACTGGTTAATTGCAATGATGCAATTTTTGTGTGCTTCAACTTACTCGTGAACATATATACAGGTATTTTCAGATTTGGAGAGATCAGTTTGTCGAATGGTACACAGACAGGTCAGTGTTTCAATAGTTGAGCTTAGTTTTAGCATACTTATGGAATTGAAATTTTAACTTGTTTTTTTTAGTATCAACGATTTTTCCTCATTTCAAGTCCAAATCTGCTGACTTTCAGGTTTAACATTGTCATATATATGTTGTTATGTGTGTAGGAAGAGAGAAACGATTTATCATCTCTCTCTCTCTCTCTCTCTCTCTCTCTTGGCAATAAACATAATGATTTGCTCGTTCATTTACTTTTATTATTTGCACAATAAAGTGGAATGGCAATGTCAAATAAGTAGGTAGCCTGTGCAAAACCTAGAAAAGGGGGAATTAGGTTCAGCAAAGTTGAGATAGATGAATTTAGACCAACAAAATGATCTTTTGATTATTAACTTGCCAGAATTTCCAGTTATTATACAAGGGTAGCTTTGTATGGCAATTAGATATTTTTCAGGGTTATGCTAATCAGTGGTCAATTGAATGTAAAAACGATTTCAGAAAGGGCACCACCTGCTAAAATATGTACTCTTCTTCCCTTGCCTTTGTGTACCTATATGAGGTTTTCTGGACATATTGGATCTAGACAAAAGATATTATAGAACCATGATGGGTTTGATTCAAGAGAAATCAGAGATCCTTCCATGATGAGCCCTTTGATAACAAGACAACAGTGAATAGTGAAATTTCCAATGGCTATACTTCTCTATTCTGGTATTTTATGGACTAAGTTTGGGAATTTGTGGCTCATGAGGTCAAAGAATGATAAATCTTTTGCCAGCTGCTGCACGAGCCCTTGTCATTGAATTTCTGCTAAAAATGTTAATAAACTGTTTCCTCTGCTGCCTTCTTGTGATTTGGGTTTCTCTGAGTGGGACGTTAGTTGCTTCCAGATTTGATCTCCAGTTTTGTTATTAAGTAATACTTTCAATTTGCAGGTTGCTACCATTGCATGGTTTGAAGCCGATTCTGTTTGCGGTAGTCACTCTGTTGCAATTCCCATAGTTCTTGTTTTGCCTTATCTTTTTCGTCTCTTCCAATGCCTTCGACAATACAAGGATACCGGGGAGAAGACAACTCTTCTTAATGGTAAGCTCCTTCGATAATTTTCCTGTAATGTTTTCTTCCCTTTTGTCATTAATCATGTCTTTTGAGATGTTTTGAAATCTGCTAGTTCTTCTGACCTGATATTAGTGTGTTTATTTGTGGCTTGTGATTGGGTGGGATAAGCGGCCCTTTTCATTTTTATTTTTTGTTCTTATATCAGTATCAATACCAAAATGGAATAGATTGTTTCCTACTGAAGCACTACTCATCTCGTAATAGGCTTGCCTATATCGTTAAAGAAAGAAAATTTTACTCTGATTGATTTTGAATAGTTTATAGAATGAATAGATACTGGTAATATATATACACACACACACACACACACATATTATATATTTCTTTTCATATCGTGATTTTGTGTCCACATCTCCCCTTTGTCTTTGCTTTAGGTTTCTTAATGATCGTGTTTCTTCATTATATACTAATGTATTAACACTCACTTTTTTCCCTACGTTTTCAGCCTTAAAGTATTCTACTGCAGTACCGGTTATTTTTCTTTCAGCACTAAAATATCACGTCTTCCCTGAGAAGTGGACAAACTTTTATCGGCCTCTATGGCTTCTCTCAAGTGTTTTAAACTCTCTATACTCATTCTACTGGGATGTGACTCGAGATTGGGACTTGAGGTATGCGAAATGTTTATGGCTTGGCGATACACATTATAGTATTTAAATCACCACTTCATTACTGTTAAGCAGTAAAATTTATCTCTCTCTTTTGACAGTGGCTTCACTCGGATTTTCAAGTTCAGCCGACCCCATCCTTTGTCAAACATGCTATATGGTCGAAAATGGGTAAGGATAGATTTTGAGTCGAAAATTGCTTTTTTACCTTAATTGACCTGGCGCCGAACTATTAAAGGCCCTTATCTATTTATTTTTAACTTCCAAAACCAGAAGTAGACACGAGTTACAAATTATTATAAGGAACTTTCTTTTGATATATGTAAACTCCCGCTACTAGTACATTGAAGAAATGGACTTCTTGAGTCTGGGTATCTATAATCAACAAGCTATAAGTGGTATACAAATTGAACCTATGAAACCATTGAATGATTGCACCTGAAATGGCCTTGCAGGTTTACTTTTGGGTGCTGGGAAGTAATCTGATACTGCGTTGCACTTGGACGTATAAGCTGTCTGCCCATTTGCGACACAATTACCTCACCTTGTTCACAATCACAGCCTTGGAGATTTTCCGCCGCTTTCAGTGGGTTTTCTTCCGTGTAGAGAACGAGTTAAACAAGATGAACTCCAAGTCAAATATTCAACTCTCGATGAGCGAAACACCAAATGAGGAAGACAAGCTACTTGCACCGAATAACCACAATGTATAGACTACTATTGAGCAATTATTTTCTAAGTAGTAACAACGACATCCGACGTTTCATTAAAATTTTTTGACCAAAAGGGGTTCGCCAAGTCCTTTTCGAAATTGCTTTTTTATACAATCAATTGAGAACATTCCTTGTTCATAAATAGAGTAGGTTGTTCCAAATCTACAATATTCACTACAGTATATCATACTGCTTCATTTCGTGTTCTATTTTATTTTGGATTCACTCGGCGAATTATTTTCCGCATGGGGGCCTAAAGCCCGCTCCCTCGTGTAAGAAACTTACCAGCATAATGCTTGATTACCCTTTTCTCAATTAACAGAGTTGTATGTCCTATTTCCCTCTGAACCAGGAATTCAGGATTCTGTAACTGTGAAATGAATCTTTTGTTTCGCTTTATTACCACACTTAACGGTTGAGGCTTAGAGCCTGTTTGGTTGAAGGATTCGTTTTCTGATTTGAATCATGGTTCATGATTCGTTACAGTATTTTTTTTCACAAAAAACACACTTAAATCGAAATGGTTCTAATCTCATGATTTTAATTTATGAATCAAACAGGCTCTTAATAGTTGCCATCATCGGCAAAGTACAAGACACCCGTGTGGCTAAATGCTGCCCTTGTCTTATAGGACTAGTGCCCTTTTTATTAGGGAAAAACGATAAGATTGAAGATTGCTTCTGTTTACTTTTTCCTTTTTCTCACTGGTTTGGAATGTGGGCTCTGCCAAGTTCGAGTTGCTTTTCCGCTTTAGAAAAAGATTTGCCTGCAAGCTTTCGTGAAAAAGAAGGGGGAAGGAAAATGCTATGTAATTCCGTTTCTACTCAAATTTATATGAGAAAAAACAAAGTTTGAATTGTTATTTAAATCTATAAAATAAGCGTGTTTTAATCTATCAAAATTGATACATCAAAGTGGGGTTAAAACCCATGACGATGTTGGAGAATGCCATTTTGAATGTTGTGATAGTGACATAGTGTATGGTAAATATTTTAGGAATAGGACATGCTTAAACTCTCATGTCACATAATTAAAAACTTAAATGGATTTATGGTTCAAACCTTACACAATGCCACAATCGTGCTTCACGTCCAATGTCAATACTAGACAAGGTAGTTTCCACCATGCATATCATAAATAGTTTTGCTAACCAGATAAAATCCATCTACGAAAACTAATTCATGAACTGGTGGGACCCCTTGAACAATATCCAACGTCTCTACTCTTAACACACCACCCGTTCTATCCTCCAACTAATTCTCCCAAAGATTAACACCCAGTCACAGCCTTTTGAAGATCCATTGGACAGAAATAAGAGTACATAATGTACACGTGTCAAAAATTCAAGTCCCCCCCAAAACGGATAACAAGAACAGAAGCAGACATGCTAACCACCCAAAAGTACACCTTACAAATCTTCCTCAAACCTCCCCCCCTATGGCCTAAATGCTGACCGCCGCCGCTGAATGCACCGGTCTCCAGAGCTGGCTGGAGCCGAGCCAAGCCGACCAATCCACACCAAGGGTGTTGACAATATTGTCCTCGGTGCTAGAGAAGCTAGTTGCTCGAAACGACCGGCTCATAGAAGAGTGCACAAGCCAGGCACTAGATGGGCTAAGTGGTGGCTTGAGTGGTCCTCGCGTTGGGAGGAACTTGAGCGCTTTTCAAGGAGTGAGGGCTCCAAGCATAAGCATAGCCAAGTACTTGGAAAGGCTGTACAAGTACTCTAGTTGTAGCCCCTCGTGTTTCGTGGTGGGATATGTGTACATAGACAGGTTGCTACATAAATACCCTGACTCACTTGTGGTCTCCTTGAATGTTCATAGGTTGGTGGTCACAAGTGTTATGGTTGCTTCTAAGATGCTTGATGATGTGTAAGTATTTTTTATTTTATTTCATTTCTTGCCCTTTTTTGTGATAATTTTGATATGCTAGAATATGACGTCAATTGGACACATTATTGGTCCGTTTGGTATTGAGTCTATAGAAGTTCTATTGCCTGGTGGCTTTTGCACAAAATTTTAAGTACAATTTTATCTGACAAAACAATCTAAAAATGATTAATTGGTACACAAACCAATGTACTAAAACATTTTTCAGAAGTTGGCAAGGGATATCTTTTGGATTACAAGAGACACGAAACCAATAAAATCAAACAAGCAACCTGAGTTTTTCTCTTCTTTAATTTTCCGCTCTGGTTTGAGTTTCTGTTGTGTTTATTGTGTTTGGAATGGTGCAGACACTATAACAATGCGTTTTATGCGCGGGTTGGAGGACTGAGCAATTCTGAACTGAATAGGCTTGAATTGGAGCTGCTGTTTTTGCTGGATTTCGGAGTCGTGGTCAGCTCCGGAGTTTTCGAGATTTATTGCTTGCACTTGGAAAGGGAAATGTTGGTGACCGGCTCTTGCCAGAAGATTGAAAAGGTATTAGACTTAAATGATGTGACTGAGATATCAGTAGAAGATACAAATACAGTTTCTGTGGTGGACTGACTTGAATCGTGTCTTCTTTTTTAACTTGATTGAAGAAAAATGAATAAGGAAATGTATTTTTAATTGGATATGCTGATCAACGCAATGGAAACCTCAATGCTTCGGCTGAATTGCTGTTCATCACTTGTTCTTTACATCTGTTTAGTAGTCCTTTCTCTCGCTTTGATACTCCTATTCTTTAACTATTTTCTCTAGGCGTTTCACATCTATTTTTAGGTTGTCACGCAAATTCTCTTTTATTGGCAAAGAGGAATGTACTACTTTTTGCAATCGAAAATCACAATGAGATGAGTTCAAATTTACTGCCTCATTATTTTCTTATTCCCAATAATAAAAAAAACTGCACAAAGTAGCAATAGGGAGATTGGGAATTTTTGCAAAAAAGTTCTTCTCAAACGTGACTAGTTTCTTTTATAAAAGTTTGGAGGTTTTTTTTTTTTTTTTTTTTTTTTTTTTTTGGGTATCTATCCCTATGCAATCATTAGAGCATCGTATTTATGATCCATCATTATACACTTGACAATAAAAAAAAAAAAAAAACTAATAACATGTGACGATCCTATTGGGATGCCGTCACCGTAGCTTAACTTTTTAACTTGTACTTACTGGGATTTCTTAAAATTTGCGGAATATTTTTTCTTTTAAATATAAGAAGGAATAATTTCATAATTCATAACAATAATTTCAAAAGAATGAATCACTAATAGCCCGTTTGGTTGGAGGATTCGTTCTCTGATTCGAATCATGGTTCATGATTCGCTACAGTATTTTCTCTCACAAAAAATACGTAAATCTAAAATGGTTCTAATCTCATGATTCTAATCCTTCAAACTGAGCAGCGTTTGAACTTTTGTTTCAAACACTCTTTAAAAGCCTTTCTAAAACTAGCTAATTCAATCTGGCCATGTAATTTGACTTTAAAACGGATTTCGTGAGAAATCTTAAATTCAAGTATATCTTAAAATTCTTTTAAACTCAATCATTTAAATCGTCATGTTTAAAATTCGTTTACTTGCTGCATGCACTGTTGCAACGTTCTAAAACTTAAATACTCAAGACTGGGTTTTTAGCTACAACCTCAGTTTTCTTAACATACATATGTACATATACTTTTCAAATATATATGCTTGAAACCTTTGAATCATATATACATATACATGATTTTACTTAAACTTACTGCGGAAGATTTAACTGTGAGCGGTATCCATTCCCATATCTACCATTCGCACGCCGCTCGCCACTGCCCTTCAAGAATTGCTGATAGGTTTCTTACTTACAGCATGAACATATCTGATTGAGCTTTCGCTTAGCAAGTAGGAACTATCTCTCGCAAAATAACTATAAGTTCACATGAATAAATATGCATGAGTTGATTATGCTTAATTATGATGTCTTATCATAGTCTTATTATCTTATCTTATCTTTCTTACTGATGGGCTTGAGTGCTCGCGTACCACTTGCGCGCAGTCATTGGGACGTGAGGGTTTGCAAGGTCCCCCACGACACTGTGATTATAACTTGAATGCCTCCCTTAAGTCGGAGGACATTATTATTATTATTATTTCCCTTATGGAGCTTGAGTTACCTCCCTTGTGGAGGTTGGTATGACACTCAACTGATATTATTCTTATAAGTTCCTCTTGACTTATTAAGGTGTATGCAATATAACATAGCATAGCATACTATAACATGGAATGTACTCAAACATATATACTTCATGTGCACTGCTTAAGTGTATGCAGTATGATCTAGCATAGCATACATAATATTAAATGAACTCAAACACATATATTTCATGTGTGTTGCTTATGTGTATGCAGTATGACATAGCATCACATACGATACTTAAAGCATAAACATGCACATATAACATGTGTAACTTTTTCTTTAAAATCTATTCATACTGTAGGCAAGATTCCTACTTACCTGTTTTACAGAACTGGAATCCACTTTTCACCAAATAGCCTATTCTCTTACTTGCTTACTTTTGAAAATGAACACCCATTGAGAGTGTGAGATTTTATGTCGTTTGCTATTCTATTATAGCAGCTTATGAAGGAAATCTAGCCCTTTACTTAAGGCATGTATTCGTTTCCTTTGCTGAAGGATAATTTACTATAAGGATCATTTTATTAAATCCTTAAAATCTTATTTTCCTTAATTGCCCTTAACATACTTATGTCTAGATTGAAAATCATTTACCCAATCTAGTAACTTGTTCTCCATAATTTTTCTCATTGGACTTATTATGATATTAAGGCCAAATTCGGCCTAGAAACTTATTCACGGCATTCTAACTCTTAGGCCGTTGAAATTTAAACTCAAATGGAGTCTCTTAGATTAATGCGGGCGTTGGACCCACATCAAACCTTCAAAATTCTATGGACCTATCGTATTGGGCTTATGGGTGCCCGTCGGGATAATTCGCACAATAAACCACTATATTCTTTAAAGAAAGCATTTTTTTCTTGATAACTTTCTTTACGAATACTTTCGTTAAAATGAGGTTTAATGCCATTGTATTTTACTGAAATCCTATCTCGGTTTCTTTGATGACTTTTTGTTAAAACCAACACTGTTTTAGTTTTGTTTTGTTAAAAACTGTGCAGTTTTTGAAATCTGCGTTTGACTGCATCATAGAGTCAGATTTCAAAATTTTGTTCTTCGCAACAATTCTTCGTCTCATCGAGATCTACAATTGTTGTTTTTTGGAAAAACCAAGATTCGGCCTCTAAAGGTATCGCTTGGCTGAACCTGGGGCTGCCAGTTTTTTTAAACTGTTTTGGTTAAAAACTGCACAGTTTCGGAAATCTACGTTTTACTATATCTTAGATTCAAATTTTGAAAATCTGTTCTTGACAAAGTTCTTCCTCTTATCGAGATCTAAAATTATTATTTTTGGAGAAAACTGAAATTCAGCATCTAGAGGCCTCGTTTGGCTGAAAACAGTGGCTACTATTTTTTCCCAAAACTGTGTTGCACAGCCTGATCCGTTTTTGAAAAATGGCTTTAAACTTGCTTTTAGAGTTAAAATTGGATTTTGTCATAGTCACAGAAAACGTTCAAAACATCGAGAACTATAAGTTTAATTTTAGAAATACTGAAAAATCTCCCTCTAGAGTCCTCATTTTCATGTTCAAAATAACTGGAAAATTTTACCTCTAACCCCAAAATAGCAAACTTTAACTAAGTGTAAACATACCACATAATGCTTAATCAAACTAACCTTAAAACTCATAAAATCAACTTAAAACTCACACACCCTTATTACAACTTATTTCCTTGAGAATCACAAATTTACATCAATGCATTCTCAAACTTAAACTTTGCTATAATGGAAAATAGAGAATAAGATTTTAGAATTTATACCCTTGAAGAAAGTCATTGGTTAGGCTCCTCCTAGGATTCTTTGATCACCTTCTTTTTCCTCTAAGGTTTGTTAATGGCTTGGAACTCGAGGAGTATAAGAAAATTTGAGAAGAATAGTTCTACATCTCAAACTTTACTAGAACATAAAAAGAGAGGGTTTACAGTTTCTTTACCCTTGGGGGAATGCTAGACTAGTCTCCTCCTAGACCCTTTGATCTCCTTCTTCTTCTTCTATGGTTTGCTAGTGGCTCAAGATTGGGAGAGTGGGAGAAAATATTTGAGAGAGAGTGGACAGTGTGGCCGGATTTTGTGTGGGGAAAAAGAGAGGAGAAAAAAATGAAGCTTATCCTATGATGGTTCCTTTTATAGGCAACTTGGAAATTATTATTTTTTTAACTCCACATCAACTCCCTCAATCAACCAAGTTTTTGGTTCAATTCCCCCAATCTTGGCCAGTTATGGAAGGAGAAAAGGAGAAGGCCATGATTTCCCATTCAACCACTACCATCATATCACTTTAACATGTAACCTTCTAGCATACTCAACTAGCCAAATTTTGGCTCTATTTCTACTATACATGGCTGGCCAAGTGGAGAATGTGAGAGAGAAAAATAAATCCTACCCCTTGTACTTTTGTCCACTCTCTTAAGTTTCCTTTGAGTCAGATAAAATCATACTGACTGTAAGAAAGTACTTAGCCGACAGGAATTCTAGTTTCTGATGGTTCCTTTCCTACAGCTTATTTACAGTTCAATGTTAAATCCTCGACTACTTTGAGATGACAGTAAATTCTTAATCACGTAATATCTTGAACTGTTTAATGTCTTGAAGTTTATTCTAGACTGAACAAATTCTAAATTTAACTTTTCTACATTCTATCTCGGGAATGACGTTGTTTCTGACGGTGTCAACTCCCGGGCTCACATTGTACCCTTCTGTTATGGGTATTTATCTTGTGACTTTAACCTAACTGTCTGGCAGTTAAGGATTTTCTCTTCTTTAAAATGTCAGTACTTTTTTTTGTACGCTGCTAACCTCATACTTTGTTTGAAGATTCTTGAAATTAAGATTCTCAAACTATACTGGTACTGAAAATTATTCCGCCTTAAAGTACGGCGAGAATTTATCAATTGAATTCACTTGATCGAAAACATGAACTGAACATGAAATATGCTACATAATTTAGGAATACAGATATTAATTTCATAAATCATTCAGTCACATAATATTTTCTAGGAAAATCCTTAGCTTGAATACATAAATTGTATATTTCAAGTCTGGAATTTTCTCAGTCATTACAATCTACCTTCCTTAAGAATTTTCGTCCCGAAAATTAGAACAACTTGGGGTAATTTTTCCTCATATCTTCTTTGCGTTCCTAAGTAGCTTCCTCAATATTATGATTCTACCACAAGACTTTAACCAGAGGAATTACTTTAGTCCTTAAGGTTTTCTCCTCGCGAGCTAGAATCTAGACAGGTTTCTCCTCGTAAGTGAGGTCTGCGTGCACTTTGACGGGTTCCTGGTGCAATACATGCGATGGATCTGTCGCATACATCTTCAACATCAATGCGTGAAAGACGTTGTGTACAGAAGCCAATTAGCTAGTCTATATGCGACTTTACTATTCCTTTCATCGGTGCCACCTTCAGGAAAAACTAAGTCTCCTACCTGAAACTCTATAGGTCTGCGGCGTTTATCCGCATAGCCCTTCTGGCGACTATGGGCTGTATCGAACCTCTTTGTGATAAGTCTCACATCCTCTGT